ATGATACAGGTTTATATCCCCTCAAAACTTTGCTAACACATATTTTTCAAAAATTGTGATCTTTAATAAAGCTAATTCCACCGACACTATAATGATATTTTTGTGATGATTTTACTTGCATGCACTCCTCAAATCCAATGTACTCGCCCCACCTGCCACCCCTCAAAAAGAATGGACTCACCCCACCTGCCACCCCTCAGATGGAATGTACTCGCCCCATCTGTCACCCCTTCAAATTGAATGGACTCGCCCCACCTTTCACCCCTCGGATGGAATGGACTCGCCCCACCTGTCACCCCTTCAGATTGATTAGACTCGACCCACCTTTCACCCCCTCGGATGGAATGGACTCTCCCCAACTGCCACCCCTCAAAAATAATGGACTTGGTCCACCTGTCACTCCCCAAATCGAATGGACTCGACCCACCTGTCACCGTTCAAAAAGGAATTGTCTGAACTGTTACCGACTTCAATGCAGACACACAAACCACACTCATATAAAATTATAAAATAAAGTCATTTTAGTGTGATTATTTATTTATTAAGGACATCTTTTGGGACAGAAAATCATGTTAAAGAAATAAAATTAAATATATGCACAGTTACATTGGCATAGACTTAAATAATGTGATAAAAGGTCAAGGCCGTTTAGACAGAGGTACCTGCTCGTGACTGACAGCTACGAAATGTTGAATTTTACATATTTGTTACTCAGTAGAAATTTTAGTATTTGAGGTTGACACATCTGCGTCGACTACGTTGACAATTACGTTGACTACTCCACTTCTCGGAGCTCTTGTGTCAAAGGCTAAATTGTGCTCTGTGCTTGTGCAATATAGGCCCCTAGTGTGCATGTGCCAGTGCGCACACGCGCGTGTGTGTGCACATCTGCCTGATTCAGATGTGTATTTAAGTTATAATAATTTTGCTGAGATTCATGTCTTACATTTATTTGCATAAATGAATGCTTTTAAATTAGTACAGTGATGATTTGGTAATTTATCACGCCACATCGTAAATGACTTCATATAACAGAACAATTTTATTCAAACCATGCATCTCAGTTTGCACCGTTGATAGATATATGCCGGTGTGTCACGAATGTATATATATATAGTCCGCTAGGAACCGTAGTCCTTTCCATATTACTTTGTACAGGTGACTTTCGTTCCAGTGGCAAATTTAGGGGGTGGGTCATGGGGCTGACCTTTGAGCAGGCCCCGAACCCCACACCAAGGGGGCGATGGTCGGCTTCGCATCTGAAGCCCGTCGTTCTGGACCCCCCCCCCCCCCCCCCCACTCCCCTTCAAATAATCCTAGATCCGGCCCTGAATACGAAAAATAATATAAACCATACTGAAGTTATTAAACCCCCAATCAGGTTGTGTAGTGAGCCTTAGCTTCAAGGTGAATATTATTTATTACTATTATTACCTCCGCCAATGAGGTTATGTTTTCACCCCTGTCTGTCTGTCTGTTTGTTTGTCATCAACATAACTCAAAAAGTTATAGACCGATTTTGATGAAATTTTCAGGGTAGGTGGAAAATGGGTTAACTTAGAAGTGATAAGTTTTTGGTGGTGATCCGGACCAATATTCAATCAATAATCAATAATAATCAAGAATCGCTGCCTTGACGGCCGGCGGTCAGCGCTCTCGGAGTGCTTTTCTAGTTATTATTATTATTTTTATCTATTTGGCTGTTTTAAACATCACAACCGCACATCCCAGCACAATGGTCACGTGAGCTGATTGTGTTTTGTGAGATTTGGGCGGAAATCAAATACGTCCAATTTTTTAAAAAATATTTCTCGTTTATTCGCTGAGTCTCGACTTCTGTTTTAATTTGCGTGTTTGTCATACACCATATTATTTGATACAGGGAGAACATATAAAAAAATTGCCAGTTTGAAGAACTTGAAGATCAAAATTCTGTTGATGTTACTACTCATGCAACCTCTCCATGGAGGCAAGGAGTAACTCCTTGATGAAGGTAGGCCTATATATATAGGGGCCTAAGTATATCATCAAATTAGATGTAACTCTTTTGCACCTTTTATGTTCACAAAGCAAGCGATATACATTTGAAACAACTCGTGGGCAACCAATGTTTTTTCACAATTCATTTTAAGCACAAATTTTGATGATTTTTAAAACTAAGGTTGTCAATTAATGTTTCATGTGTTTTGATATTTAGCAACCTACTTTTTGTTTTGTTTTGTTTGAGCCTAATTTTTATTAGACCCTAATTTCTTTATTTTTTACATTCATTTAAAATAACCATGCTTCCTATTACTTCTCCTTGCCCTTGGTTACTTCCTTGCTTTCCATTTTTTAAAGCTCCATCCTTTCTTTTCTTTGCTAGCTTTTGCCTTGAAAATGCCTCCAAACTTATATACACATTTATCTATTCTTTTGGAGGACTTATGCTTCTTAGCATGAGCTATGTTATTTGGCTCAAATGGAAGAAGGTACTAAGGGCGTATTCCCATAGATTTTAGATCGATCTATCCCTGTGGGGAGTCTCACTAGATTACTGTCAGATAATCCGGCTTAAATTTATGTCTGCCCCGCCTACTACAAGCTGTAAGGGGGTAATTAACTTTCGTGCCCGCTCTGCTGACAGCTGTTTTTAGCGTGAACCCCCAGGGAGTTAGGTCGATCTAGTTTGGATCAATCTAGTCTCTGGGAATGGGGTCTAAAACAAAATTTTGTGTTGCACTTGCATTTTAAATTTAGTCTGCATGAAAGTATAAAAACAATTCTCTCTTACAAATCTCTGTGTTAGAATAACTGTTTAAAATATAAAATAGGTAATTGTGGTAAAGAACTGGAAATTACTTTGTTTCCACTGTAATCAATTTCATAACATCATTGTTTTATATTGACAATGTTTTCTTTTCCTTTCCTTTCTTTTCTTTTGCCTTATAATTATAATGGTCATTATTATTTCAGAGAAAGCAGAGTGGTGTCATAGTTGTTCCCAAATATTCTGGTAAACATCACTATAGATACATGGTAGCAGTTCAAAATGGGCTGAAAAGGTAAGAGTGATGCTAAGAGCTTCCAAGTTATTGATTCTGATCCTTGTTGAACAGCTTAAACCAGCTATTATTGTGTGAAATCTAAGAGTCTAAAGATAATAATAATAATAATAATAATAATAAGTGTCTAAAGATAATGATAATAATAATAAGTGTCTAAAGATAATAATAATAATAATAATAATATTGATGATGATGATGATGATGATGATGATAATATGTTTTAATATTAAAATGACCAAAAATAGAAAAAGAGATACAGGCCAATGAAGAGTCTAATACAGTTGTATATAATTATTGAAGTTGTTGTTTGACTGTATTTAGTCCAAACTATAGAAATATGTTGTTTTAAATATCAGTAAAGACACCCAAAGTCAGATTGCAGTTGATAGGAGACCAGGGGTATCTCCTGAATATAATCTGTATGAATATGGGAGGAAGCATAATTTCCTTGGAGTAGGACAGAAGAACTGGTTTCTTTTGTATACAAAAGGTAAGTATCTTGAATATTTGTGGAGCACATATAAATTTCATTTCCTGCAAATATTGATTCAACAGTATTATTAGCAGTTAATTACTATTTATTTATTACAATCAATTCAGCATGTACAGTCTTAACTGGAACATCAGGTCACAGTTTGCTGTTCATCTCTGTCAGTGGCTTTATTGTATATCATTGCTAGTACTTAAAGTATAACTGGAACATCAGGTCACATCTCTGTCAGTGGCTATATTATATATCATTACTAGTACTTAAAGTATAACTGGAACATCAGGTCACATCTCTGTCAGTGGCTATATTATATAACATTACTAGTACTTAAAGTATCATGTTAACTTAGTTATGTTGACTTTTTATCATAAAGTTAAGTGCAGAGTGTGTTTAGATAGAGCTAGTGTAAGAATTCTTGTTGATTTGATTTGTGCTAATGGTATTGTTATATTAACTAAATTTATTTTTAGAATTAAACTAAAACTCAGTTATATTTGATGAATGTCGTACTCTCAAACAACATACTAATATTATAGTGAATCTTTATATATATATATATATATAATTATTAAACTCAGAGTCCCTGGGAAAACTGAAGAAGGTTGTGGTGAACATCATTGGAGGACCAGGAGCTCAATGGTAATTCAAAAAACAAAGTGCAACATCACAAACATTGTTACACTATATAGGACCTGTATAAAGAAAGTTCTGCAAATCAAAAGAGGTTATTTTTGTCATTGTTCTGAAATAAGTTTTGTATTATGAATACCTTGGATGCATCTGTAGTTAAAGTTATATACATATTGTTATGTTATTTATAGTACTGTAGATATTTTATATATCCAGATGGAGTTTAATGCCAATTTAACAAACTTTTATGTTTTAAAAAATAATAATAATAAAACTGTTAGCTACCTTATCAGTTTAGATAGATAGAAGCCCAAATTTATTTGAAATGTTGATTGTTAAATATGTGTTGTATAAAGAAATTTGAGTGATTTTTTTTCTTTCATTGAAGGAATGTGCTGGACATAACAGTATATGATACAGTATCTGGCTGTGAATCCCACTTCAGCAGCAATGGATGCCTCACAGTGGGATACACCACTTTGGAGTCTTGTAAGAACTACAGGTAAGTTGGAGACTTTCTAACAATTGATAAATAAGCATATGAAGTACTTTGAAATGACTGCTTGTACAAGTTATCAACAAATAAAATATGAAAGATGATGATAATAATAATGATATATATTCTGATTTCTTAATGTAGTATACAGTTTTCCTTCAACATGGAATGTGCATTTAGTAATTTTCATGTATAATGTCAGACTCTGTACTTTGATATTTCATATAAATTTAATATTTTTCAGGTTTGGACTGCAATATTGCCTTCTGTATATGTGGTCCTGTCATGGATGGACACGCTGTTCTAACTTGAAGTTAGCCCCTGTCCTACTGTGGTTTAACAGCACCTTGAACTACATGTTTGCTAACATGCTGCTTATCAGTACCCTTCTCAGTGCTGTTGGTGTCATTCAGCTTGATAGAGGTATCTTCCTCTCCAGCCTCCTTGTCAATATAGGAACATTCCTTGTGAATAGCATATATGATGTAGCAATGTACAATATCAGGTGTTATGACAGAGAAGACACTGGTGACACTGTGCTGCAGAGCCTGGAAGATGAGCCCCAGTATGATGACATGTAAGAAAGCAGTTTATTTTTTGTGTTCATTTTAAGACTCCTCATTTCACAGTTATGTTGGAATAAAGATAAATTTGTCTTTAGCTTTGGGAGTTGACCACAGATCTTGCTCATAGCAATGACTGATTCTGATGACTTGTATGGGGCTGAACACGTTTCATTTCATAGACTATTTCATTTGTGTTAAATATTCATAGTTTTGAAATGATTTCACATTTTCTTGCTAATGGGACACATGTTCTGAGTGTGTAAATGGAGTTACTAATTATAGTTAGAGTGTTATTCTACCAGTAATACTAATTCTTTACAATTTTTATTTATTTATTTATTTATTTATTTATTTATTTTGTTTGTTTGTTTATGTATTTATTTATTTATTTATTTATTTATTTATTTATTTATTTATTTATTTATTTTGTTTGTTTGTTTATTTATTTATTTATTTATTTATTTATTTATTTATTTATTTTGTTTGTTTGTTTGTTTGTTTGTTTATTATTATTTTTTTTTGCAGTTGCACAATCAGTGATGGGTTCCAACAAGTTGTGCATGGAAGTGTGGAGACCATGATGAAACAGGTGGCTTATGACTTTGAGAAGGGCTATGATTTAGAACATGCAACTGTTGAACACCAGGCTATGGCACAGATGGAAGAAATGGTTGCCAAGGAAAGTTTGGTTGTCAAGGAAGATATGGTTGCCATGGGAGATGTGGACAACAAGAAAGGGGTATTTATTACTTTTTTTCTATTTTTAGGTTGTGCATGCATGTATGTGCCTGTACAGATATCATGGATTGCCTTTGAGACATACTTGTATTGCCTTCTTATAATTAAAAACAGACACTTGTATCATTTCTGTAATGTTGGACAATATATTTGGCTTGACTTATAAGCACATATACATATTCTAAGAACATAAAAAGACATTATACTAATATTGAGGTATTATTGTGCAACATCAAACCACTACCATAATAAATGTCTCGGTCTGTGGAATATTTTGCCTATATTTACCAGTCAGCAGAATCAATATTATTGGATGATTTTCAATATTTCAGAAAACACCCAGCTACAACAGCACTCCCAGCTCCAGTGCACTGTCCACTAGTAGCATCATACTCCAGATGCCAGAAGTCTCTGGGGAAAATAACAACTACATTCCTTCTGAGTTCTTCACATATGCTCCTCCCCCTAAAAACGCTAGGCTAAACTCAAAGATGCATAAGGAAATGCAGGCAGAGAACCCAAAATCCCATGCTGGGAAGAGTTCCACTTCAACTCAAGCTCACTTCAACCCAAGTTTTCTTATTTCAGGTAATCATGTATATATATAAAATAGTTTGCTGTTATATAATGCTGTAGAAATGTCTATCTGATGATGTTTTTTTAATCCTTTTTGATGGTGTAGAACAGATGTAACATCCTTTTGATTTTTAGATTCTTAATTTTTGCTCAACAGCAGAAAAATATGTCTCAAACAAATAATTTTTACATTTCCCTTTACATTTTCCTTGTTTGATGCATTAATGTCTGACATTTCAGTTAATTATTTTGAAAAAGAATGAATATATAAAAAAAGGATAATGCATTTTCATGTACACACTGTACATGTAACCCATCAGCTTACATTTTGAAGATACTTAGAACATTGATTTCAACATAAGTTTCCTTGCCTTTATTAAAATTAAAACAGAGGTTATGGTCTTAAGCAGGGGTAATATTACCCTGCTTCAATTTGTAGTAAAACTTACACATACTTTTTGCAATAATTCATTTCCGCACAATCTGTTCCAGAACCATCAGATGAGGTGCCATACACTGAGCTGAAGTCACTGGAGATGGTGATGGTCAACAGAAACCGTGGCGGAAAGTTGCCCCGCTTTTTGATCTATCCAGCATTCATTTTGCTGGTCGTCTCCATGGCTATGGCAGTATTTCTCACCATTGTGTATGGCAGAGAACTGAGTGATAGCGCTGTGTACAACTGGGCTGCTCTGGTAGGAGTGGCACTGGTGGAGGACTTGTTTGTGTTCCAGACACTGAAGGGAGTTTGTGTGTATGGTTACTGCCTACTTTTCTCAGGAAATGAGACTGGATAGGATGCTCACAGGCAGGAGAAGACACAACTTGTTAAGTTTTTAAAAACTCAGTGCTCTGGTGCCAGTGGAACCTTTTACTAAGTGATGAAATTCCAGAAATAGTGCAAGGACTTTATTAAACAGACTCATGGAGGCCTCATACCCCTGTTGCAGAACTATATGTTTATGATTTAATGAAAAAAATTATAAATCATTAAAATATTTTGTGTTGAACTTTGTCCTTTTAAATTTCTTATGGATCATAAGTGTTTTTATATAGACAGATACATTGCCTTAGTATTTAATACATTGGTACAGTGCAAAAAATGTGACCAGAATCTCATAAAGTATCTTTTTTTTAATAAATACTGCCATTAATGATCTCATTCACTTTTAAATAGACATTTTTAAAATAACTTCATTGATCTGTGGTAATAAAATCTATATTGAGTATTTTCTGAATTTTCTTTTTTTACTGACCCTCATGTTCAAGTTTTTAAATATTGAATACGAGTTTGTAAAAGAAGACAAAGTTAAATGGATAATCATGGCAAATAATGCTTGTTTAGGCTTAAAATATTTTGAATTTGATAAAAACTAATTTTTCATTTAAAAAAATGCTATTAAAATCCTGGATAAAACCAGTTGGTTAAACAATTTAATAAACAGACAAATTCTATGCTTTTTTCCTTATTATGTTGTGTCAACTTTAACTGAAACATTCATTCAAAAAGTCCTATCCTAACATTTCTTCATCAGATTTTTTATTTCATACAGTATCATCAAAATTCATTCCCATCTGTTGCCCTTTGTAAGGTGTCTGCATTTTTTATTACAACAATACAATTTCTAGTCTTTTACAGTACTTTATTGCATTTTATTGGAAAAAATTATCATTTCCATGTTTACATTAGTGACCAAAATCACTGTTCACATTAACTGGAAATCAAAAGTTGTATCTTCATCTGACTTTAGTAACAATTTTCTACGGCATTTTCCTTTCTCAATGGTAACTCATTTTTAAAATGGCAAATATAATTTACAATAGCCATTTTCAGTGGAGTAAGTACTGGTAAAGAATATATAAAAGATCTGACATGAAGCCCCTTCAACTAGCTGTGCTGGTCACCTTTTTTTTTTTTTTTTTTTTTCAGGCCACTAGCTATTATCAAAAAAGAAAGAAACACAACGCTCTATTGTACGGATGACTAAAATGATACAGATACAAAAAATTACACAAACCATAGAAATCCTCTACATGTCCTGTGCAGTGGCAGATCAAGAAGTTATAATTATAACTTCTTGGGCAGATATAGCAGATGTGTAATTCATGCCTTCCTCAACTTATAATTTCCTTTATTTCTGTTCTACTCAGATCTATTCGGGTAAATGGATACAGCTCATGACGTTGTATTTCATTACTGAATATCTTCATTTGTGATTGTGCGTTAGGGGTTAGGGGTGGGGTAATTTTCTTTTCTCATGGGACGGGGCCGGTTGCTCTATATCATATAACAAAGGCTAAAGTTGAAATCGAGGCTCCTGTACGGAAGGTGGTCTGGTATATATTATTATGTAATCCAGGTGAGAATTTTGGTGAGAGGTGTTCAGAAAGGACCAAGGTCAGTAGAAGATGGAGAAAAAAGACTTGTGTCTCATTGCCACAATTTCCACGAAATGGTCAGAAATCTTAGACTGAAATTGGCATCGATCTGTTGTAAGTACTGTATAGATGATGGAGGTTATTTGGCGTTGATGATATTAACCAAAAAAATGGTGCAATTTACAAATAAAGCATCATGTCAACATTTTGTCTTGACGTCAACAATATTTTCCCTTAAAAGTCCAAATTCAGCTTGACGTTTAAATAGTTTATTTTCTGTTTTTATTTTCAGATGGAATGCATTTGCCAGTAAACAGGTGGTGAGAGGTTTGCTCCAGCTGTGAACGCGTCTTCCTATACTTAAACAATGTGAGACATTTTTAGCAGGTAAATACATTTGTAGGACCCGATTTGTTTGTAAAAGATTCAAAATCCACTACCAGCAAACCCCTACCTGCCAATGTGTACATGTTGTCATTATGTTTTTCTCCTCTCAAGGATCTCGTAAATTTTGATTTTAATACCTTCCGACCAATGATTTATTCAAAAAAATTTCACTTCTGTGAACTTATCCGTAATCCGAGCGCCAGTATCTTATTCTAGTCTCCCTGACACAGAATGTTGTCACGTTAGAGTATATGCACGGTGTAAAAGAATAGAAATACTACTGTTTAAAAAGTGCATGATTACATACATGGACAAAATTATGTTATGCCCGTGTTATATACATGTAGCACCTGTCAGCTCAGTATGTATTCGTATCGTTTAGAAATTGAAAAGAGATTTGTTGAATATTATCATCGAAATCGGTTACTGTAAAATTAAAAATCGTTTTATTAAACAAACCCATAGACATTGTTTTGTAAAAGTGTTTTTGTTTAATTTCAGCTACTCGGCCGTGGACGAGAAGATTGATTACGTTCTCCATCAAAGACGTCAGACTGGTGTTCCACAGCGGCTGCATCCATGTCAAGATTACGTGTCGCATGACTTAGTTCGTCTTCTAGTAAATTTACTGGGTTAACATTTAATATGAAGTGTAATGTTTGCTTTGGGTTGTGATGTTCTCCGTCAGAAGGTGTATCAAATGAAAAGTCGGGTTTAAGCTAGGATCCAAAATAATTATTTTGGATCCTAGGTTTAAGGAGTATTTTTCACGAAACATCTGTTTTGAAAAAGGACTAAGGCAGCGTTCACAACCAGTTGATTCACAAACAAACTAGTAGAAATATTTGAAAAGTTCCACTTGAAAGCAAGCCTGATTTTAATCGCTATCCACTGCTGGGACGGTGCACATGGGAGTTGGGGAATCCATTGTCAGGTGTAATGATCTTAAATAGTCCGCGGATCAACTGGTTGTGAACGCCGTCTAATCCTATTCTTAGCGTCAGCCCTGTATGTTGCTGGGTTACTATTGTACGTGTGTTTATGTTACCAAGTTGTTGTACAGTACTCTTTCCGCTCATGTCGTTTAAATGGTTGATGCATTTGTTTAAGGGGCGGGTACACGTCAGGTCTTGGACATGAGAACGACTTTTTTCAAGTTCTCTTTTAATACGAATATTGCCAATGCAAAAAGTGACTTGCTTTATTGATGTCGTCAAATTATCACCAAGTAGTGTTCAGGAAGAGTACTTTTCTACACGTACATGTAGTAGTGGTTTATTTCCGTGGTAACATAAACAACATTGCTCATGTAGGATGACCGGTTTTCTTTTTGAATTTGTGAGGGCAAATCTGCAATTTGGCATTTCACCGTTAACAATTATTTATTTTAAATTGAATCGTAATATTTGTTTTGATGATGTTTACTTTTGGAAAGAAAGAAAATGTTCCAACCGTGTAAAATGCATTTATTGAAGTCTTTGGAAGTTATAGTGTGCGTTCATTTGAAGAAAAGAAAGAACGATATGTGCATCCACCGAGAATTAATAAGTTGCTGTAATTTAGATAATAATATTTCAGAAATTTCAGTATTATTAAACTGGCAGAATGTGTCATTACGGTAATGTGCCATGAATTTCGAACAGTAGAAAATAATTAAATTTGGGAAAAGATCGTTCTGGCCGAAATTCATGAAATGGAGGTGCTCAGAACTTCCGAAAGTTCGAATTTCATGGAATTCTGTCAATTTTGACCGGAAGTTGTCTGTTCGTCGCTAGGCCTTCTGTTATCTTCTCCCGACGATCTATTTAGAGTTACCATAATGTATGATTGTGTGAGTGTCGGTAATTGCGACCAAAGGTATACACGAACTTCACCCGATCACTGTGTATGGCCCATAGATAGAGCGGTGCTGTTGTTTAGGTCCGCAAAACAGTATCGTTATTAGTAGTGTCGTTTTTCAAAAGCGATCCTGGCACTCAGACCGGGAGTGGACGGAGGGAGAGACGGCCGACGATTAGCGTCTGCCACGGCCAGATAACCTTTACTATGGAAGCTTAGTGTTACCGTTGCTCCTTTCCGTGCACTGAAACTGAGACGACAGCCGATCAGTATCTATGGCGCACGTGCAGGTAGCCTTCATCTGCGATAAGTGTCTTCCGCGACCAGGTTCGTTGCCTTTACCGTTAAAGTCGGGCGGAGCTTTACGCGCGAATGCGTCCTCATCTCGCCGTTTGCGGGTCGGTGTCTCCGACGCATACGTAGCCTTCCCTGCAGAAGCCGGCCTCTGCACTACGGCTCTCCTCCGTGCGGGGAGGCCACTACGACCGCAGATCGGTATGTGCGGCGCACAGGTAGCCTTCGCCACGGCAGCCGAACTGTGTATTACGGTCTCTCTCCGTCGTGCGCTGCGACCAAGA